GCGGTGGTGAGTCCCATCCCCGTCTCTAAACTTCATTCCTCAGGCAGCGGGGACCATGACCCAGTTTGGGCTTCGAAAGGTCTCTTTGGCTGTGTGTGGGGGAAGGATGGTGGGGTGAGGCCAGAGCTCAGGCCCAGCGATGGGAAAGGAATAGAGTGGAGGCTGGATGGAGGGGGAGGACAGGGTCAACGCCAACAAAAGGCACGTTCTCTTAGACTGACACAAGAGAACAGAATCCCCAGACACTTCGCCCCCAGGGGCTGACCCAGACCTTGGCTAGGGGCAGAGGCCCAGGCAGGGCTGGGGCTGGGCACTGTTTCCAGCCAGTCTGGTCTCCCTGCAAAGCCCCAGGGCGAGGACTAGGAAGCCCTGCACCTGGAGGACAGGGTGGCCGAAAGAGGACACCTTCCTACCTCCCTTCACGCTGGAGACCCACAGCCCTTTCCCAAATGTGGAGAGGTAGGTTTGCAAAATCAATTCGGAAAAAGGCGTTATTCGTTTTGCTCAATAAATAAACGAGATTCCCTTTTTCTCATATCCAGCTGTCAGAAAGGGTGATCACACTTCCTACTGAGCTATGCTGTACCAGCGGGAGGGAGTTCCAACCGTTTACAGCCTTTTCAGAGGCTCGAAAAGGCTCCGTTTCACTACATGACAATGGGACCCTGGACTTCCATTTTGAGGCCTCTCTGACCCCCAGAACCTGGCCCGGGATGCATGCAAGGTCTGGGCAGCGCCACAAATTCCTACAAAATACTGTAAGCCACCCCAGTGTCCTTTAGTGGGGGGAATGGGCACATAAACGGCACCACGCACAGAAGGAAACCTGTAGAAGAACGGGGCCGACTCACGGGCTCCGACATGGAAGATGTTTGCAACAGATAGAGTGAAAGAAAAGTCTAGCCACAGAGACATACCACCGGAGCTCATACACCCAGAGCTAAACACGTGTGTCCACAGAGACGTGGATCTGGACACGGAGACGCACCAAACTCCAGTGGTTTCTCCCAAAGGGTGGGAGCGAAGCAGAGGACACTTTCTCACCTTACATTCCTACATGGTTCGTGCACGCATTACCTGTGTGACCAGCCAACATGAGCTGTGGCTGCCCACGGTGGGGCGGGGGGGCGACTGGGGGAAGGGGAGTGACCACTAATGGGCACAGCGTTTCTCTCTGGGGCGATGAAAGCATTCTAAAATTCACACACGCGTGCACACACACACACAAGACCCAATGAACTGGATACTTAAGTGGGTGAATTGCCTGGCAGGTAAATTATGTTTCAATAAAGCTGCTATTTAAAAAAGAATTAGCAAGGGAAAGGTGAGCCTGGCAGTGATGGGCGGGGGGGTGTCCCTCGGCTCCCACAGTTTCATCCCGGCTAACAGAATTTCCAGAAGGGCTGAGTCCTTCAAGGCTGTCCTAGAGGTAGAAGGGCCCCCCCCGCCCCAGGCAATCCTAGGATTCCTGCCAAGGGCACAGCACCCAGGCCCTATGGAGCAACTGTGAACTCGCTCCCTCACCTATTTCTCCCATCCAAGTACTAACCAGGCCCAACCCTGCTTAGCTTCCGAGATCAGACGAGATCGGGCGCATTCAGGGTGGTATGGCCGTAGATCCTCCCTCACTTATTCTATCTTAGCTTTGGGGGCAGAGAACACCAACATGGGCCACCCAGACACTGCCGCTCTCTCATCCCAGCCCTGTCCTCTGGGCCAGATGGAGGTGGGGGTGGGCCTAATCCCCCACCTCCCCATGTCCTAGCTCCTTCCCAGTCGTAGTGGGGCCCCACCACAGCCCTCCACACCCACTCAAGATAGCCTACATCCATGTCACACATCTCTCAGTGCACAAGGAACGTGGATTTCAAGGTTTCTGAAAACCCTGGTTGATTCTTGTATCCGAGGAACCAGCAGGGACCGGACAAATCTCAGAGAAACAGGGCCTACACCACAGTGACAATCGCCCCCTTCGGACTCCAAAACCTGGCCACTCTCCTCACCCACTGGAGAATCGATGACAGAGTAAATGACAATTGTCAGGGGACTGGGTGGCTCAGTAGGTAAAGCGTCTGCCTTCGGCTCAGGTCATGATCTCAGGGTCCTGGGATCGAGTCCCACATCTGGCTCCCTGCTCAGTGGGGAGCCTGCTTCTCCCTCTCCCTCTGCCTGCCACTCCCCCTGCTTGTTCTCTCTCTCTCTCTCAAATAAACAAAATCTTTAAAAGTAATAAAATAAAATAAAATAAATGAGCATTCTGAATAAAAACGACAACTGTTTGCTAAGCACTTGCTATACCCCAAAGCACTGGGCACTAGTCTTACCAGCATTATCTCATTAAATCCTTGCAACAGACAGAGCCCAGCAGGAAACTACTATTACTGCCATTCTACAGATTAAGAAATTGAGATTAAGATGCTGGCCCAAGTTCATATCAGCTAACAGAATGTGGAGTCAGTATCGGAAGCCCGAGCTGGCCCAAATCTGGAGGAGATTCATGGGGAAAATTTGGGACCCTGAGACTCTTAGAACCAGAAAGGACTTCATTCAGCCATCAGGTCACCTACAGCCTTCAGTTCACAGCTAGGGAAACAGAGACCCAGGGACAGTAAGGGATTGCCTGAGGCTACCCAGGCCTCCTGGCTCCCAGGTCAGGGCTCTTTCCTCCATCAAGCTCCCTCCGGAAAAGTAGGAGGGACTAATCCTGCCACCAGCCCCACGAGGCTGCTACTGTGAGAACAAGTCCCTGCTTGCCAGGGGCTTTGAAATCCCAGGATGAAAAGGCACCGTGGCAGCAAAATGCCACAGTGGGCAAGAGTGAGCCTGACCTCTGCCAGGACTTGCCGGCTGGTATTCACCTGCTCACCTGCGCAGGGTGGGCACGAAGCTGCAGAAGCCGCCCGCCCACCAAGCCACAGAACCCCAACAGGCCTCGGAGCCCAGAGCACTGTGGGAAGGGCCATCCCAAATGTTGACGTCTCCAAAGGGGTGGCCCCAGGTAGGGAGGGCTCTGGAATCTTAATTGTCTGGCACAAAAGGGCTCACCACTCCTTGGGTGGGGTGAGAAGGGTGCACAGATCGCCAGGGGTGCCAAAGGCTAGCCTTCATTCCCTCCAGAAGAAATTTCTAAGGTGGCCTGCTTCCCTGGGAAGGGGCTAGAGTCTTTGCTGGGCTTCCAACCTCCCAACCCCGACTTGAGACGCTCCCCCAGGTGAGCCTGGACCAGGAATTTGAGGCATCTGAAGAGGGTTATTAATAGCCCTGAAGTGTTGAGAAGAGGGGCCAGCAGGCTGAGTGGGCACAGCCCTCTTCCACCCAGCCTAGTATCCACAGAACAAACCCAACCCTGTCCAGGAGAGGACACTTCACCTTTTGTGGCTTCAGTCTCCACCCCTGTAAAATGGGGGGGGGGGTGTGGGGGTGCTGGCAGTTCGCAGTCCAGGAGGTAGGAAGAAGGGGGAGAGCAGGAGCTGGGTGTGGGGGAAGGAAAAACCCACCAAAGAAGGAGCAGCACACCCCACCCAGGCCGGGTGAGGGGCCCCAACAGGAGGTCGTGAATGGATGGACTGTTACAGAGCCCCAGGAGGCTGCCACCGACAGGGAGGGGACAGGAAGACTCCGCCCGGCTTTCCTCCTCCCAGAGTCCAGGCCGGTCCTATAAGGAGGCTTTTCCGGGACTTAACCCCCTGCTGCTCTGGGGCTGGAGAGGGTCTGACTCATTTCTACCTCACGCTCACCCCGCGCCCAGGGCCCAGGCCTGGCTCAAAGGGGGAACTCCAGGCCCAGTGCCACAGTCACTGGACAAGCCTTCCCCAGAACCCTCTCTGTCCTCAACCGTGGGGTCCTGGAGACACAGAGTTAAGGGACACCTGGTCCCTCTTCTCAAGGAGTACAAGTAGGCAGAACACCGCTGCTGAAACGCTACAGGACCGCAGGACACATCAAGACACATGGAGGTAGACACAGTGCTCCGGCTTCACTGGACAGGGAGTGGCAAATTCAACACAGGGAACAGATAACTCCTTCCATCAGCTGCAACCACCCCACACCCCAGCAGACCAGCACCCCAGGCATGGGTGCCTCCTTCATGCGGGGCCCTGCGCTAAGCAAGCTACATGAAATAGAGTCTCTCAACAACGCATTAATAAGAAATTATTCACCCCATTTCAGAGAGGAGAAAACTGAGGTGCCAGGCCATTAAGAGACTTCCCTACGACCTAACGGCTGGGAAACAGATGCTGGGATTCCACCCAGGCAGCCTCACCCAGGGCAGGAGAGGTGAACCACAAAACCGAAGTTTCCCAGGCAGTCTGAGATTCTCACCCCACCTCTCCATTCTCCAGGGTAGGGGGAGGAGGGACCCCAGAGCTGCTGCTACCCTGGGGCTTCCTCGACCTTCTGAGAAGTAGCCACAGTGTGGTGACAGGCTGGGAGCAGGGTTGGCTGAAGGAGGGGGCTGAGGAGGCTGGGCTCCGGCCCTGGACACGCCTGCCGGGCAGGAGAATCCTGCTTGAGCCCGAGTCAAAGGGCAGGGGTTCTGACCGACCCGTCCTGTGCACCCCACAGGCTCAGCCCAGGCATGGATGGGCCTGTCCCTAGAAGCCTCAGCCACGTGTACTAGGGCTGGGGCCAGGACGAGGTGGGGACCCGGACAGTGAGGGAGGAAGATCAAGACACGCTGGCGGAGTGGGCCACAGGTCCATCGGGGTCGTGTGCTGGGGGGATTCGAAGGGACCGGCTCGGAGGGGGTTCCAGTGGAGGACGGGGAGGTTCGACTTCCCTCGGGAGGGGGAAGGGCGAGTTCAAAGGGGGCAGGAAGGAGCGCCCAAACGTGGAGGGAACAAGCTCGGAGGCAGGACTTGGTCCCCAGCCACTCCCGCCTTGCCCGGGGCCTGATTGTCCCGAGTCCCGGCCCCTGCGCCGCCGACCGACCGGGTTGGGGGCGTGGCCCGGGGGCTCCCCGCGGGACCCCCCAGCGCCCTGCACCTCGCGGGACTCACCTGCGATGTGCTGGCGCCGGGCGTCGTCCAGGTGCGTGGACAGCACGTCCCCCATGGCGAGGAAGAGCCGCGGCCCGATCCGCCCGCCGCCCGTCGCTGCCCGCGCCGCTCAGGAGGACGTCGCTGGCGCCATGCAACCCGGCCCGGCCCGCTCCCGCCGTCCCTCGCTGCGGCCTCTGCTCTGCCCGCGTTTCAGCCCGGCCGCGTAGATCCCGCCGGCCGCCTCCGCCCAGCGCCCAGCCTGCCGCGCAGCAACCCAGCCGCGCCGCGCCCCGCCCCGCCCGGCCCCGCCCCCCGAGCTGAGCCCCGCCCCCGCCGCCGCCGCAGACAGGAGGGCTGCGGGCGGGGCACCAGGGGAGGCCGGGACTGCGGGCGAGACCCGGACAAAGACCCGTCGGAGAGAGGGAGAGCGAGGAGGGACGCCCTGAGGGGCGCGCCGGACCCAGACCGAGCCGAAGAAAGAGATGGGGCTGATGGGGGCATCTAAAGAACGGGGAGCGCCCTGGGGGGCTCCAGCCTGGGTTCACCTCCTCCCCTAGCCGCGCGGGGAGAGAATCACGCGGAGCAGGTCGTGGGGAACGGGTAGGGGACTCCAAGGCCAAGGTGCGGGAACTTGGCGTTCGCACCCCACTCCTCCCGCCCCCGCCCGCCGCCTCCCGCTCTCAGGAAGTTCCTGGCCTTGATCCGACCTGCCCCAGAAGGTGTGCCCGCCTGTCTTGCGCAATAGTGCTGGGAAAGGGGAGGTGGCAGGGAGGGCTAGGGGCCTAGGAGTCACCCCGGGTGCCAGTGTCAGGCGGACATTCCTCAGGCTCAGCATATGAGTATTTTACTCGGGGAGGTGGCTTGTGGGACAGGGCAGGTCAGGAATGGAAAAAACAATAGAACTTTCCAGTTTGTAAAAGATTCAAATCCCACGGACCTGCATGGGTATCAGTCGGGCCTGCGGGGCTGGGCATGGGTGGGTCCAGGGTACCCCAGGAATGTGTTCCAGTGCTACGCTGGACACCGCTCAAGCCAGGAGGGGAAACAGGTTCACATCAGGGATCCCCCAAATCGTGAATTGGGGTGGCAGAGGCCTTCCTTGGCCGCGGATGCTCAGACTTCCCTTTCCTGCATCCCAAAGGTCATGCAGTTTCTGCTTGCTTAGCCTGGGGACTGAGTACTCGCCACCCATATATCCCACCCTGTGATTGGGCAGTTCTTACCGTGGGTGTGACAAAGGCAAAGAATGGTGGTAATAAAAGTTAACATTTCTGAGCATAGATACTTCAGTCCAGTCCACACCACCAAAGGTAGGCTTGAAGTTGATTAATGTGACGTTGGCACTCATTCTTGCCGCCAGTGGCTTACGGGTCATTCAGCATACAAGTGAAAAATACCTGTTTGTAGGGCCCTCTGCAAGATGCGGGGTTGGGATGAGGGGGGGCGGGCGTGGTGGGGAGGGGGTGGGGGGAATGGCTTGCTAGCTGGCTCAGTCCCAGGAGCAGAGGACTCTGAATCTCTGGGTTATGAGTTTGAGCCCCACCTGGGGTGTACAGTACTTTAAAAAAAAAAAAAAATGCTAGGGTTGGGGGAAGAGAAGTTGCCCAAGCTGTCCTACCCGCTCTGTGACCCAGGACAAGTGGCATTATTCTGAACCTCAGTTTCCTTATCTGTCAAGTGAAAATAAGGACACTTTGTTGTGAGGATTAAAGCACATAACAAAGTGACTGGCACAGGATTGGTCATCTCAGTAAATAGAACCCACCATTCTCTCATTGTTCATCACAGTCCCTGCCCTTGAGAGCTTATAGAAACTTAAGGAAGGAGCAGAACATTCCATTTTGAGGACAATCACAGAGGGACTAGCACCCGAACTACAAGTAGAAAAACCAGAATTTTGACAACAGACATTGGAGAACAGCATTCCAGGGAGTGGAGAGAACACGGGCAGAGACCAGTCTTTGAAGGGCAGTACGGATTCAGGCACTAGTCATCAGATGCAGTTGAAGTCAAGCTGAAGGCTGAAGCCCAGAGAAGGAAAGTGACTAGCCAACGTCACACAGCAAGGCAGAGGCAGAACCCAGCCAGAAGTCAAGTCTCCTGATACCCAGTGTCTGTTCTCTCTGAGCAACCAGACAGAAGTAATCAGAAGCAAGAGAGGGTACTAGCCTTGTTTCTTTTTCCCCACAGCCCAAACTATAGGGACTGGGAAGGCTTGCTTGCCCTGAGGAGATAAGAGGAGCCAGCTGGCATCTGGACACCCCAGGGCACCTCCCCAGTCATACTGGACGCGTGGGCCAGAGGTGGGGCCCCAAGCAGCCTTTTGCCAGCCTTTATGGCACACCCGGGACTGTCAGCCTGGAGTACCCACAAACTGCCCAGAATGCCAGGCCCCTAGCCCAGCAGCCGCCCCCTCCCCCACTTCTTGGCTTTGGAGACCCCCCTGTCATATGTCACCTAGTGCCTCTGAGCATCCATGGCCTCATATGTGCAAAGCAAATGAGACCATGAAAGTAGAAAGGCATTTAAACTACAAAATGCTGTGTGCATACGTGAATAGCTTCCCCCAAACCTTGGGGCCAGTTCCAATTCAAAATTCATTCAGTTCAGGGGCACCTGGGGGGCTCAGTCGTAAAGTGTCTGCCTTTGGCTCAGGTCATGATCCCGGGATCCTGGGATGGAGTCCCCCATCGGCCTCCCTGCTCAGCAGGAAGCCTGCTTCTCCCTCTCCCACTCCCCCTGCTTGTGTTCCCTCTCTCGCTGTATCTTTCTCTGTCAAATAAATAAATAAAATCTTAAAAAAAATTCATTCAGTTCATACACACACACACATACATTTTACCTAGGGGTGGAGTGGAGGGGAATTGACTGCAAAAAAAAGCCAGACAGGAACTTTGTGGGAGGTTGGAAATGGTCTATGCTTTCACTGGGTTGCTGGTAATGTAGGAGTACCTGTTTGTAAAAACTCACCAAACTAGGGGTGCCTGGCTGACTCAGTTGGTAGCATGTGTAACTCTTAATCTTGGGGTCCGGAGTTCAAGCCCCACGATGGGCATAGAGCTTACTTAAAAAAATCAGCTGGATTCAATAAACTTAAACACGAAAAAACAAAAACAAAAAACTCACTGAACTATAAAACTTTAAATGGATGCCTTTTGTTACATGTAAATTATACTTCAATAAAGTTGATTTTTTTTTTAAAGATTTTATTTATTTGGTATGGGGGTGGGCAGAGGGAGAGGGAGAATCAGACTCCCTGCAGGGAGTCTGACTCAGGATCATGACCCAAGCTGAAGGCAGATGCTGGACCTAAAGAGCCACCCAGGCGCCCCAGTAAAGTTGATTTTAAAACGATAAATGAATGCATGGAGCTCTGGCTGTGTGTCAGGTGCTATTGTAGGTGTTGGGGCTACATCAGTGTCCCTGGTGGTCAAGATTCCTGCCCTTGGAGGAGCTATGTTCTCATGCTGGAGGGAGAAAGGCAGTACGTAAACAAGATGATTCAGAAAGGATAAGCATTAAGATAAAAGGATGAGGGCGTCTGGGTGGCTCAGTGGGTTAAAGCCTCTGCCTTAGGCTTGGGTCATGATCCAGGGATCAAGCCCCGAATCCGGCTTTCTGCTCAAAAGGGAGCATGCTTCCCCCTCTCTCTCTGCCCTCCTCTCTGCCTACTTGTGATCTGTCAAATAAATAAATAAAAATCTTAAAAAAAAAAAAAAAAAAGATAAAATGGAATGAGGGATTAAAGTGACGGAGTAGGGGTGCCACCTAGGAAGACAGTCTGGGAGATGACAGTTGGAGACCTGATTGGTGAGAGGAAGCCTATTCGATGACGATCCATGGATAGCCACCATTCACGGACCTCGTGCCACCTGTCAGGTATCACGCCAGCGGCATTCCCTACCTCATCCGACAGCCCTCACGACTTCTTTATTGGAAGAATTACTAATTGTAAGGATTTTCAAAAGATAATGTTCCATCAGATGCTCATAGCAACCCTTACTCAAATGCTGGCTAGTTAGGGCTAGAGAGGGCACCCCCGGTAAAGGTGTCAGTATGAGCAAAAGCAAGGGAGATGGGTCCTTACCGGCCCAGAGGCTATTCCAAGGGAAGAGGAGAGAAGGGTCCTTGCCATGGACAGGTGGGATAGGATGGGAGGCTCCTTGAGTGTCCGGAACACAGGGTTTTTTACTTTATTCTGAGACAATTGTAAACTCTTTATAAGTTCTCAGCTCTCTGGGAGCCTGGGTGGCTCAGTCGGTTAAGCAACTAACTCTAGGTTTCAGCTTGGGTCATGATCTCAGGGTCCTTAGATGGAGCCCCAAGTTGGGCTTCCTGCTCAGTGGGAAGTCTGCTCCCCGCCACCCTCTCCTCCTCCTCCTGCTCCTGCACACACACACACTCTCTCTCTAATAAATAAATCCTAAAAAAAAAAAAAAAAAAAAAAAAAAGTTCTCAGCTCTTGGGGAGCCTGAGTGGCTCAGTCGATTAAACGTTTGACTCTTGCTTTCAGCTCAGATCATGATCTTAGGGTCATGGGATCAAGCCCCATGTCCAACTCCACATGCCTGAGATTCTCTCTCCCTCTGCCCCTCCCTCCGCACTCCTGCTCTCTCTCAAATAAAAAAGTAAATCCTTTTTTATTTTAGAGCTTTTATTTATTTGAGAGAGAGAGAGAGAGTGAGAGAGAGCATGAGAGAGGAGAAGCTCAGAGGGAGAAACAGGCTCCCCTCGGAGCCAGGAGCCTGATGCAGGACTCAATCTCAGGACTCTGGGATCATGACCCAAGCCGAAGGCAGTGGCCCAACGAACTGAGCCACCCAGGCGCCCCATAAAAAAGTAAATCTTTAAAAAAAAAAAAAGTTCTCAGCTCTTCACTACTTTATGTTAATAATCAGACCAGTTGTGATCTTTGGGTGAAGGAAGAATGACTTATATTTTTAAAGGAAAGAAAAATGAATATAGTCATCAGTACTATATGAGGAAGAGGAAAGAATTTCAGGAAATTAGACATCAGGAGAATTTCTCAACTCTGAAAAGCTGGGAACCCCTACCCCTACACTTGAGGCTGTTTTACTGTTCAGTTTTTAGTTTTGAATAAATTAAAGCATGTTTGCATACATTTCTTGGCTCTTTGTGGGTTTTTACTATTCATATCTTCTGCCTGCTTTTGTGTGAGAATATATTTTTTTCTTGTTGGTTTTTAAGAGCTCTTTCTATAAGGAAGAATTTCTGGG